ATTTGTGGTGAATGAAATACATTTACAATTTGAAGCACTTTTAAGCACAACATCTGAAATTCAAGTACCTTTCAAACCTTGAAAAGACAAAATAAAATTCAAGCATTTATAAGGATTTCAAGCACCTGTACAAACCCTGTTACTGACATTGGGTATCAATTAAATGTAAACCAAATAGATTAAATGACTAGTACATCTGTTATCAACTAGTGACAATAGCAACAACTAGTCGACTGGTCAGCCAGACGAGCACATCCCTACTTGAAACTCTGCATTAACTTAAGAAATATTAATATATTAACATGAAGCTGCAGAGAAAAAGTGACCATTCTCTGCAGGAAGAGCATACAAGGATTAATTCCCAAAAAATAAAAATCTTTTCAGTTTTGTTTTTTGTTTTTTTTTGTTTGTTTTGTTGTTGTTTTTTAATGTGCAGGGGTGTCATTACCTGGCTTTCCTTGCTTCAGCTTTTCAAGGTATTCTTTAGTCTTCTGAACCAAAGGTGGAGGCATCTTGTCCAGCGTGATGACACTGTTATCCTTCAGAGTCAGGACGATGCGGTTGGCACTCTGGCTAATATTTTTCACGTTCTGGTTCAGCTGAGAGCAAAGAACAGCAAATATTCGGATTCATGATTATTACTATTACATACAATAGTAATATATACATTATCATCGTCATCATCTTTCTCCTCACATCATACTTGTTGATAAAGTATACCTTTGAACAAACTAGTTCTATATGACAAACCTCACTCTATCAGCTATTACTTTCTTCAATAGGTCTTATATCATGCTATCTGAGGAGTGAGGTTCTTCGTAACAAGAGACTCAGAACACTTGACTGTGATGACAAAGTTTGTTTTTGTTTTACTTCTCTTGCTCCAGACTATTATAGAAAAGCTCTTATATGTCTGTTTGGAAATTATAACAGTCGTGGGGGTTCGATTTTTTTGACTTTCCTAGCAATGGAGCAAGACAGATTCATTACAGTGTTAGCGCCTCCAAGTTTTCCAGACTTTCCTACAAACTTCAGTTATATTGTGTTGGTAGGAGGGGATCGAGAGAAGGCACACACACTTTATTAAAGAAAGTAATAACAAACTTCGTGTGAATGGGTTAGTTAGAGTTTCTGATCTCTTAGACAAACTCCAGCCTCTCTGTCTTAACGCTTTCCCCATCAAAACAACATTTGACAACCTCCCCTGTGCCCATAAAGATGGGTTTTGACACCTGAGTATTTGAATAAAGATGTGGTTTGCATAGGCAGAGACCACCCTCAATAACTTCCAATTTAAACCCAGGCATTTTGTTCCATAAGCAGGCCTGAAATATTACAGAAACGGCTAATCTTACAAAAAAATGAAGTGTGAAACAAATGCTGCCCAGTGTAATGTAGATAGTCTGACAAAAAAAAAAAAAAAAAAAAAAGGGGAAAAGAAAAAAAGAGCATCCAAGGTTACTCCTAGTAGGGGAGAGTTAAACTGCAGCAGATGCTGTGGTCCTTGTCCTGCATGGCCTACTAGCCATGAACCAGTTTCTCCTGATGCAGGTTTGGGTCAGAGTGACCCACCAGGTCACAGCAGATCAGCAGAGCAGAATAAGGACTAAGATAGGAGTGGTTAAGTTGAACTGCAAAAACAAGAGGTTTACTAGTAGTGAAAAAGAGGACAGGAAGCTAGCTGTTTTAGCAGCAACTGAACTTTCAAAATAAGAGGAAGGGTAATATTAATTATTCTTTTCAGACCCAATCACATCAGTCAGTCTGAAATATTTTAGTTCTGGAATATGGGATCATCTAAAAGAAGTACAGGCATGGATTAAAAACACTTGACCCGAGGGCTGAACAAACCCTGGTATGTGCCATGGGTGAGATTATGTTTCTAATCCGGTTCATTCATGGCTTCAGTGCAGAGCTACTGCTCATTCATTGCATAATGCCTCAAAGCTGACAGCTTAGATTCTTCTAGTACTGACATGAATCAGACATGTAAGACTGATTTATGGGGTGCGATTTAAAAAGTTTGTTCCTGTAATGCTTTAAAAAGAAATATCATCATTTAGCCATCCATTAGTAGGAGTCCTTTCAACCAAGACAGCAACTCAAAAAAAATAAAAAAAAATTTATTTTATTTATTTATTATATATATTAATATATTAATATAATTATATATATATATGATATATATATATATGATATATATATATATATATATATATGATATATATATATATATATATATATTATATTATATATATATATATATATATTATATATTTATATATATATATATATATATATATTATATATATATATTTTATAAAATATTTTAACATATTAATTCAAACTAATAAATAAATCTATCTGATCGAGAAATCACTCATCTTTGGAAAAGAGAGTTTATTACAGAGAAATGGCTCTTTCCAAAATAAAAGCTATACTATACGCTTCTTCTGGGGTATATTCTCAGCAGCATATTAAACATATCAGGTCCCCATAAGGAGAATCATGTGCTAACGGCTGTCTAAATGACTCGGGTAAAGTTTGTAGCATGCGTGCTTGTTGTTTTTGTCTGCTTCCACTTGTCTTTGCACTAGGATGATGTCGGGTAAATGTGCAGTCATATTCGTTGTGTTCCCACTAGTGCTGTCAGCGTTAATCTGAAATGACGTTAACGCCACAACACGGCAAATCTCCGTTAACGAGCTACCGCGGATCGCCCCGTGCGTGGGGCTGGACGGCGTCAACACGTTAACGAGCTAACTGCGCTAACGCAGTAGTTCCCACCCATGTAATTGAGCATTGCGTGGCACATCCGACATACTGTTTTACTTTTGTCCTTCAGGTCATACTTCACATGAAGACCAAAATAGTTCCAAACGCCAGATCTGAATGAGGGTGGGGGAGGTTCAATTTGCCATGTTGCAACGAGCTTAGCTTCTGTCTTGCTAGCTTGCGCTGCGCTCAGTGGATCTGCGCTCGACAGTGCAGCCTAGGCGGAGTAGTCGAACGCAGATTCACTGAGCGCTCAACACAGACAGCATCGTCAGAAGAAAAGTTGATAAAATAAATTAAAAATTTTGTATTGTTCGATACATATGCGTACCGAAACGAAAGCACTGTATCGAACGGTTCAATATCGATACGAGTATCGTTGCACCCCTAATATTTTTGTATTGTTCGATACATATGCGTACCGAACGGAAAGCACTGTATCGAATGGTTCAATATTGATACGAGTATCATTGCACCCCTAATAGTTTTGTGTGTGGTTTCTTGCAGGATTATGAGGGTTCAGTGTCTTTTTCTCTGTTTTTAAATCAGCTGTTTAATTTGCAAGTCTGGTGCATTCTTACATTTTTATTTATTTATTTTTTTTAAACGTTCCTCTCATCTAACTCATTCACTCTTGCACACCAAAATAAGGCGGTGGCATGACTCACCCCAAGGAATCTTATTTTGACATGTGAATTGACACAACAATCCCAAGAATAACAGGCAACCCACAGTACCTTCTGAGCCAACTGACCCAGATAAAACAATACTCTATCTGGATGAAGTGCAAAAGGTTGCTAGATCATAATCAAAAGGACCACTACAATCGAAATCAGTACCTCTTAGGACATTAACAAGAAAATGACAATAATAAAGACCAATGTGAAAGTAAGACATTTTTTGGGGTCTTATAAACAACAGTAAACACAGTAAAACACAAAAAAACAGTAAAATACCTGGAAAGTTTTGGAAGCTCCTCCACAGTTGAATCTCAGGCAGAGGTTAACTTTATTGTCCTTTTCCAAAATCTCAAACGTCCCTTCTTTCCACCTGGTGGTGCCCAGGTCCAGACTGGTGAAACGGATCTTCACAGCCCCAGCGCTGGAGAGTTTGGGCACTACAGTTGCCATGGCTTGCTATCCCGTTGGTGCACTTGGGAGACTGGGACTCAAACTAATCCTAAAAAAGACAAATTGGATCCGCTGTCACACAATCTGAGCACATTATATTTATAACAACTGAATGTGTTCAGCAGGAGCAGTGTAAACCAATGGTCAGGTAGTTCTGAATTTGATTACTCTAGTTAAATACTGCAGGAAAATAATGATCTTAACGAACAGAAGCAGCCACTAAAATGAACATAGCACCTCTTTTTGTAATAACACTAATATCACCTGTAGTCGTCTCGGTGAAAGCAACTTCAAAGTTTCCGAGGCTGAGCTCAGATAACGAGAGCAGGCAACCCACGTTGTCAAAGTCACAAGAAAGTACAAACCATCCAAAACAAGCTGACAGGAGTCAGCGCAGCATCTCGCAGCAGAAAAGCGGACAGCACGCTCGCAATGCATTTCTGACAAATAAAACAGCTTGTTTGGCTGCGTGTGGCAGCTCGTGCCTTGGGATTTTCTTTGCTAGCAGCTTCAATAAAAGCCCATGTTTGCATCTGCCATCAAACTAGCCAAACTAACGGCCACTCTGAGTCGCGGTAGCCAACGACTGGTACGTGCACAACAACACGGGATGTTCCCTCTCAGCTCAAGGCATCGATGCTCCCACAGAATTACCTGTCCAAACCGGCAACGCCAAGAAAAGGTGCTAGCCATAAGTAAAAAAAAAGCCCCTTTGGATGCGGATAATGTCGTATGCCCGTCCGCAGCCCCTGAATGGGATGGAGGAGGCCGACGTTAGCACCTCGGCTAACAAGCTAACGAACGCTAGCTAACTGGCTAATTTGCTAGTCTGTAATTTGGTGATGAAAAGCGTATCGCGTTGCGATTACAGCGAGCAGGTACTTACCTATCGATGACGAGAGCTTGTCTTCAAACTTCTAAAAGTCCGGTGTCGCTTCTGTAGCTGCTGAGCAGGCAGAAAGTTTGTTTTGCCGGCATTCACCTGCTCTCCGGTGCTGTTGACAGCAGAGCAGCACACGACGCGTCGCTGAGCTGCGCGATGATGGCGGGAATGTGAAAATTTACAACGGAAGTAATGACCGAGGATCTTCATCTCGCGATATTTCACTTATTTGTATCAAGGCTGTCCACGGGTCTGCCAAGCTAAGCCTCGCTTTAGTTTTAGTATGAATTACGTTTAGTTTTGAGCTAATTAGTGTGGTTTAAAGCGCACAAATTAGACTGCTAGTGTTCCTTTTCCCCTTATTTCGGCGAATTTGAAGTTATGTTAATGTACACGGGTACTTGTCTTCATAGGCCAGGACATTTAGCAGCCAGCTCGGGCTAGCTTTGTGCTAGTTACGCCAACTTGCTTGCATTGCAACCACGTTCACCTCACTTAATCAAATTTAGTTGTTTATAACGACATAAAGACTCCACAAAGAGCTTCGGAGAATGCTTGCAACGGGAGCGGTAAGTGTAATTTCACCTTACTTTGCTTTGAAGTCTCGAACCGTCTTAACATGGAGCTTCCTCATCCTTTTGTTTGATTTACATTAAACACTGACCACCCATTCTCAAACACAGACCCAAGACGACATGCTTTTTAAACTCATTTTGCCTTTTACAGGCTGTATCTAATGTCACAGCCCTGGCTCAGGTAGACCGGGAAAAGATCTACCAGTGGATCAATGAGTTGTCCAGCCCAGAGACCAGAGAGAATGCCCTGCTGGAGCTCAGCAAGAAACGCGAATCTGTGCCAGACCTGGCACCGATGCTTTGGCATTCCTGTGGCACTATCGCTGCTCTCCTGCAGGTAAGATCTGTTGCCTCTCTCTACCAGTTGGAAATCAGGATCTTGTTTTTGTTTGGTTTTTTTTATGCTTCAAATCTACATGGGAACCACAAACCTGAATCTTTAGCCCTATGGCATAACTGGATATGCACCCTTCTAGAAATTTAATACACACAGCATCCACAGCACGTACTGTGATTGGCCTACCCAGTACTATAGATTTCCCCCTGTTAATTTCATCTTAGTTTTTGAATTTCTCAGTGACAGAATAACGATCAATGATCATCTCCTCAATATAAGGAATCTCCTCAATATAAGGATTCACAAATGTCAACAAATTACTGGAGAAAGATATAGAGGTAATAAAGTACCAGCATTTTATTTGTTCCTGTCGGTTGGCTCCACATATAAAACACCAGAAGACACACTAATTAACACATAATGCACAAACACATAAATGATGTTGACAACATGGCTACGCCATAGGCTTTACAAAGATTCAGCACAACCATTAGTGTCAGGGACTACAAGTCATGCCATGTTTGTACGGCAGCTAGGCCTTACAGACCACTCGCATGAAGTGAGCTACTAAACCCTTCTTCATTACTCTGAATTGTTTTGCTATATTTATTTTTATTTATATAATATGTTGCATTGGTACTTGTTGTTAAGAGCTCTTAGTATATTTTAAAACTTGACCTGAATTATAAGACTTCCAGGGTACTAGATCTTGAAATGGTTGTAAGCGTTTTTTTATCTCTACCTACCATTAGAGTTTATACCACTTGTTGAGTTAATACCACAGAGATGACGGAGTAATCCATCATCTCTATAGTTCTGTTTGCCCAGTGTCATTTGCTGTGCACCATTGATGCATTCCTTTCTCTTTGTAGGAAATAGTGAACATCTATCCATCCATTAACCCACCGACACTCACAGCACATCAGTCTAACCGAGTGTGCAACGCCTTGGCACTCCTGCAGTGTGTTGCCTCACACCCAGAGACACGGTAAGGGGACAATTAGAAGCTTTAATTGTGTAATACTAAAAAAAAAAAAATTTTTACTACAGAGCAGATTGAGTTTTATCCACTTTGCCTTCATTTGTTCTGTTTCAATCAGGAATTTCAGAAAACTAAACTGAAACCATGCTTCTTCTTTTTTTATGTTTTATCTCATCTTTTCTTTTCACTGATACAAACAAGGCTTTTAAGCCTTAAATGAAAGTACCTAATTTTCTGCACTATAAGGTGCACTTAAAATGCTTTAATTTTCTCAAATATCAGCAGTGCACCTTATAATCCGGTGCACCTAATGTATGAATTCTAGTTGTGCTTACTGAACCGATTTTATGTGGTACGCGGCGCTCAAAATCTGTCAAAATGTTTTAGTACGACTTTAGTAAGTTACGAAGCCCCACCGCTTGATGGATTGTCAGAGCATTACAGCTACCGTAGTCAGGAGCCTCGCAGACTCGGAGTATCTGGGTCCAAAACTCCGTCCCCTTCAGGTCACACAGTCAAATGAACACTGCGTTATCACTGAGAGTTAAAAACTGTCTAAATTCTTTCTTCTTTAAAAATAATCAGTGTTGCTGCTTTACCAGGTGTAACAATTAAGTTTAACATCGAGGCATCCATGAAAACAGAATTTATTAAATTTAACAGAGTTAGATGTTAGCAGGAAGTTAGCTCGCTAGTTTCCATCTAAACATGATATAGGATGTTCTGACTGAGAGAGTTCTGAAAGAATTAAAACGTACAGTTCTGCTATCACTTCCATACCGAGCCCTGCAAGGGACATGGGAGGGAAAAAAATTAAGGTGAAGTTTTGTGAGATCCCACAAACGTTTTGCAAGATCTCACAAAATAGACTGGTATCCTTCGCAGGTCACATTTGAAGGCCGAGTCGGTGTATCCTTCATTACCCAACCTATCCAAGAATTCATAGCGTGGCCCAGCCAATTCGTTTCTAACAATGGCGCCAGCTAGTTAGTTTTAATATTACTTTTTCTGGGTCACAAAATAAACCTTTAAGATATTTTCAGGCGTGAATGTAGCTGTGTAAACATCAAATATCTGCTCGGTTTATCAAGACATCACATATTTGCAAAAGTGCTCCGACGTTTTCAGAGATGTCTGTTACCCACCATCTCGAAGCTAACAGGAGGTCGAGGCCCACTACAACCGGGGGGAACAAGGCACATCGTGCCTTAACCTCCCGGTCGGCTTCGAGCTGTGCACATCACTAAATACCAGCTTGTCCAACTTCAGTAAACCAACGAACATCACTGCTGTGATCGTTAGCGACACAGCTATGTTAGCATAACAAAAACACAGTGAAGCTGGAGGATGAACGCTAACTTTTTTCCACTCAATAAAAGTTAACATGAGGGTTAAGAACAAATGCAATCGTGTGGCAGGATGCTGTAAACGGACCAAACTTCAGTCAGAAGAACAACTGAGATAATCCATCCACAATATGAGGTTAGTCACTAATATACTGCAACAACATGGGAAAGAGCAGCTGTGAGAGAATTAAACATTAATGGATGGATGGTACGGAAGTGGAGGAAACAAGAAGAAAGAGTTGAGTAAAGTTTGACTTATCTGACTGTTTTGTTTCGCTTGATGCACCGTATAATCTGGTGTGCCTTATGTATGAAAACAGACCCGTTAATCGACAGTGCGCCTTATGGTCCGAAAAATATGGTATATGTGTTTGATATGAGTGTGGTTACACTGATTTAAAAGTATTTTTCTTTTAATTTTTAATATCTTGCCAGGTCGGCTTTCCTCGCAGCCCACATTCCCCTTTTCCTTTATCCCTTTTTGCACACTGTGAGCAAAACGCGCCCATTCGAGTACCTGCGCCTCACCAGCCTTGGAGTCATAGGTATGCTCTCCTCTCATTGTATTATGAAAAGAGTTTTTATCATTCAAAGTGTGTGTGTACAGGTATTAAGATGTCTGTTTGTACTTAATGTAGGTGCCTTGGTCAAAACAGATGAACAAGAAGTGATTAACTTTCTTCTCACAACTGAAATCATCCCGCTTTGTCTCCGCATTATGGAATCAGGAAGTGAGCTCTCTAAGACGGTACGGAGCTATTCTGTTTTTAAAATAGTCTGAACCTTTACAGATAGCCCGCAGCATAATATTGACACCTACTAGTGAGAAATCTTTATATGCATGTTTGTTTTTTCAGGTTGCTACCTTCATACTGCAGAAGATACTGCTTGATGACACAGGGCTGGCTTACATATGCCAGACTTATGAACGTTTCTCCCATGTGGCAATGATCCTTGTAAGTGTTTGCTGTAAAGATATGCATGGACATGATCAGATAGACTTTCTGTGCCACGTTGACACATCATCGATTACAAGAAGATGGTTTAGTCTCACTGATTTCTGTTTGTAATTTTTTGAAAAGTCCAGACAGAATTAAAAACTTTTGATAACCGTTCGGAATAAACAGGCACAGACTGATGTTTAAAAACCAGTTGTCTGTTCAAAGCTTTTTACAAACTGACCAGAAGAAAATCTGCATCAAGTCATATCTTTACTTCGCTGTCAATTATGTCTAAGCAGAAATGGTCCACAGTTAAATTTTGTTTAACAATTAATTTTCAGTCATTATCAGCAAATGAAATACTTCAGAACGTAAACTTCATATTAAAACTAAACTTGATTTTTCAAAAGGAATCAGTTCGTTGCACTGCAGTTTGAACCCTAGAGTCTTTTGTTTATGTTTCTTTTTGGTGTTTTAAAAACCCAACTGGGCACGGACATCACAAATTAGCCCAGGCTGCAGTGGCATGCAGCATGGTTCATGTCACATGATTGAGCCCATAAAATAAATTTTAAAAAATAAACCCTTGAGAAGTTGAGAGCAGCATAGTAACAATATTTACTGCACTCCACTGATTTGATTTATGTAATCCATCTACAGGGAGCTGATCAAATGTACCAAGGACAGAAGAAAATGCGCCCATGTCACATTCATTACCTTTGATGTGTAAACAGCACGCTGTAAAATCCTGTCACGTGTTCACAGCTGAACTTTAATCTTCAGTCAGAATAAAAATATTGATCCAGTTCGGTGGTTCTCAAACTGTGAGGTGTGGGCAACCTGGTGAAATCATTAGGAGGGAAAAAAGTCAAATAAATCGAGACATCAACAAGAGTTTCCTGAGGCTTTCACACTGACCTTTAACTCAAATGTAGTTTGAGTGCTTTCTTTAAATAATAATTTGTTGATTTGTGGCGTGTGGGTCGGGATCTTTGTTTGCTGGATGTAACTGTAGCTGTTGTCTCCATCATGTTTGCATCTTCAGGGTAAAATGGTGCTGCAGCTCTCCAAAGAACCATCAGCTCGGCTGCTGAAGCACGTCGTCCGCTGCTACCTTCGCCTTTCAGATAATCTCAGGTAGAGCATCTTTACTCTGTTGCAGTTTATTGTGTGCTCGCGAGTTCTGTATAACACTGGCTTCGCTGTTTGAAGACTTCAATCAGCTTGCCACTAGGAGAAGCTATTGCAAAAACACACTGGTAGTTTTTACACCATGAGATGTTTATGTGTGTAAAAACAGTTCATGGTAACAGGTTGTGTTACCGTAGATGTAATAGCTGCAGCTTTGCTTGAAACACTTGGGAATAACTACATAGACAGAAAATGCACTACATGTTGAAGCTGTTCATCGTTTAGGACAATTATATTTTTGTTTATTCTGATGATTTTTTTGTTTTTGCCTTACTCTCCTTTCTAACCTGACATTAATTATTTGGAAAACTATATCTGCACTTTCATTGAGTGTTTTCATCAAGTTTGAAGTTCAATTTCATTTGAAGTGATATTAAAAGGAGGTTTTGTGTTGTTCCTTCCTCAGAGCCAGAGAGGCACTCCGTCAGTGTCTACCCGACCAGCTGAAGGACAGCACCTTCGCCCAGGTGCTGAAGGATGACACCACCACCAAACGCTGGCTGGCTCAGCTGGTCAAAAACCTGCAGGAGGGCCAAGTGACCGACGCCCGGGGCATCCCGCTGGCCCCGCAGTGAAGAATTCACAGGAGACACAAACGGACTTGAATTTGTATTCTGTCACATGTGGTGCTAAGACTGAAAAGTAAACAACATGATGGAAGAAGATATTTTTGCTCTTGGGTCATTTATTTTTCCACATCTTCTTTATAGGAACCCAGACTGTATGATTTCCAAGACTTTTGTGAATATTTGAAAATCCAATAATGATACATAGGCTGATGTTTTCCTTGAAACAGCTTGATAAAGAAATGTTTAGGTAGGAGATTTTGCGGTTGAAAAAAAGGAAAACAGTAACACTCCTGCATTTCTGTTAACAGCGAAATTAACTGACGTTTACTTTTTAGAAAGTAAATAAATATGCATTAAAATGCATTCCTTTTATATGAAACAACAGACAAACTAATAATAAAATGTGTGTATTGCTGCAGTAACTACAAATACATTTTGCCATAATTATCACCACAGATTACTGGTAAATTAAAATAAGATGGTACTGGCTGTAAATATCCTCCTGCTATCACTGGATCCTACAGTTACATCCCACATTACATACATACTCTTGTTTGTTGTGTTTCTAATGGGACTACTTCCAGATGTGCACACTGGTATGTGCAGCAGTTTAGTAATACAGTGATATTCTGTACATTTGCTGGCATATTTGTGTAAAGAAAAAAGGTTTCTGTTCTGAATAAATCTCTGAGCTAGACGGCACTTGTTGGCAATATTTCACAAATAAACAATTTTACACCGAACTCCTGCCCCTGGCAGTGCCCTTTATGTGTGATTAGTCTATCTATGGAATTTGACTGTCAATCTATAGCTCAATAATACGACTGCAAGCACTTTTTTAGTTTTTTAATTGAAATGGTTCCATTATTTGCAGCTTTGTTGTTTAACAGCTAAAATCCTACAAATCTTTATTTACAGTGAAATTCCTCGGAGAATTACTTTTAATTTAGAAAGTAGCAACTGGAAGCGATGGTCTCCGTGTTTGAGGAGACAGTACGGATCCACCATGGAGGTTAAGGCAATAAGAAGAAAGTATATTTCACTTCCTCTTTCCCCTAAAGTAAGAGGTTAACTTTAAAATCATAAATGAGGTTTATCCAACCAATGAATTCTTAAAACGGAAATTTAACTTAGATGTGAACGCCTTCACATTTTGTGACAGTGATATTGAAAGTTTGGATCACTTGTTTTTCTACTGTGAATCAGTGCACCCCTTCTGGATTGACATGTGGAGCTGGCTACAGTTCAGGAGAATTCAGTTACCACATTTGATGATGACAGTAATTAAATTTGGAATACTTGCTGAGAATGCAGATTTTGACTTGTTGATTAGGATGTTTTTGTTACTGGGAAAATTTTTTATTCACAAATGCAGATATTTTAAAGCTAAACCACGTATAAACAGATGGCTGAATGACTTTAAACTCTGGGCTAAATCGCTGAAACTTGTGAATAACAAGAAAGCTCATAAACTTATTGTATTATTTAACAAGTTTAATCTATGTTAAAAAAGAAACCTCCCTATTTAATGATCATGATTGCCCTTTTTTGTTCATATAAATTTTTTCCTTTGGTTTTAAATCCTTCAATGACTGTTCTTTCTTTTTGTGCTAACTCTTTTTGGCTTTGTGTTTATTGTTTGTTTTTGTTTTTTTGTTTTGTTTTGTTTTTTTCTTCCTCTTTTGTCGTTGTAACGCTCAACCGAGGATATTACATATTCGGATTAATGATGGTGCCTTGTATGTTATACTGTTGATTATAAATAAAGTTCTTTAAAAAAAAAACTAGCGTCCTGCCATTAGTTGGACGCTAACCTCGCGAGAATATCCAGAAGTTGATCTATGGACCGTTATCAAACTTTGCTCTCTCGGTTTATACCCGCTAATGTGCCGTTGAGTTTCCCCGTAAAGCAACTGACAGCTCGCCGGGAGCCCTTCGGATTACAGAGTTCAAATGAAAGCCGTGATTCTCGCCGCCGGGTACGGAACCAGGCTCCAGAGAGATGTGTTGGCGGACACCACCGGAAGGTTCGCCCACCTGGCGCACGTAGCCAAGCCGCTGCTACCCGTCGGTCGGTGCCCTTTGAGCTCACACTGGATCCACGCGCTGACAGTGTCCAGCTCCGTGGACACCATCTATGTCGTGGTAAATAACCAGTAACTAGGTCCAATAACTGACTCCAATTCACAGGAATCTGATCCGACTCTGCGTAACTGTTAAAATGATAAACCAGGTTTGAATATGTGTGGACAACAGTGTTGGGGAGTAACGGAATACATGTCCCGCCGTTACGTATTTAAAATACAAAATATGAGTAGGGATGGGTATTGATAAGATTTTCACCATTTAGATTCCATTTTCGATTCTGTTTAACGATTCGATTCTTTATCGATTCTCTTATCGATTCTTTTTTTTTTAAAAAGGAGAACACTAAGGTCGATTTGCTTAGAACTTTGTTTTATAGCTTCTCTTTGAACAAGATAGAACTTAGGAGTAACATGGCCTTACAAACCCAACAGTGAGATCTTAAGAGATCCAGCCCATGGTTCTTTAATGGGGTGTCACAGGGTCCCCAGGAAAAAAAATTGTAAATGTAAAATAATAAAATAAATATTCTTCTGTAGCAATAACAAAGTATAACATAAATTATTCTGTAGCAATTACACAAGAATATCCAGTAATGTCCCTGCCTACAATTAAACACATTCACTTACCGTAAATCGGGGGCATCTGCTGTGGCAAATGGGTGCAAGCCTTTTACCTCAAACTTAGTCACTGCTCGGTGACATTCGTCTATCCTGGCCTGAAAGGAGACGCTACCAGTAGACTGCAGCGAGAACTACCAGCATCTGAGCCAGCCAGACTCTGTCTGTCTCTCTCATCATGCCCCACCTAAATGCACAGTAATGTGCATTTAGGTGGGGCATGTATTCTGTAATCTGTAGTGGAATACATTTTAAAAGTAACCTTCCCAACACTGGTGGACAAACACATCAAAGATAGTTCCCTGATTCACTTTACATGTTAGTTAAATAGATAGAGATAAAGTGTTAGGCACAGCCCAGACAGCAAGGAGACATTGAACTGATGTTGATTTTTCATCTGATCCATCAGAATCGTCAGAATTATAATCCATCCATCCATCCATTCGCTTCCGCTTATCCTTTTCAGGGTCGCGGGGGGCGCTGGAGCCTATCCCAGCTGTCATAGGGCGAGAGGCGGGTACACCCTGGACAGGTCGCCAGTCTGTCGCAGGGCCAACACACAGGGACAGACAACCATTCACACTCACATTCACACCTAGTGACAATTTGGATTTTCCAATTAACCTATCCCCACAAGCTGCATGTCTTTGGACGGTGGGAGGAAGCCAGAGTACCCGGAGGGAACCCACGCAAACACGGGGAGAACATGCAAACTCCACACAGAAAGACCCCGGCTGGTGTTGGAATTGAACTCAGGACCTTCTTGCTGTGCGGCAACAGTGCTAAAGGATTGAAATGTCAATGAAATATCAATGTTGAAACAACATTAAAATACTGATGAAACCTGACATTGACATTGAAATAACATTGATTCATTGTTGTTCTGTTATTGTTGATTGTTGATCTATTTATAGTTGACTATGTGACAACAATCACGTAGTGAGTACCTTCTCTTCTGATGTAATGATTATGATAATGATCAGTAACGTGCAGGTCTGTGACCCACTCTTATCCTCTGCTGATCTCCACAGACCAACACTCTGTACCTCAGGGCGTTTGAAGAATGGGCGACAAATTTCACAAATGTCCAGATCCTCAGCGACCAGACGACAAGCAATGATGTAATCCTTTACACTCCGCTTCCATACCGTCCTCTGACCTGTAATCTAAAGATTTTTTTATACACATGCCCCGCAGTGCTGAGCAGTGTTGGTCAAGTTACTTGAAAAAAGTAATCCTGCTACTTTACTGATTACTTATTTTCAAAAGTAATTAGTTACTTTTTAAAACAGATTTATCCCTAATAGGTATAAAGCGATAGATCTTTCAGCCCAATTCTACTTTTTCTGCATAATCCATCATATAAAATGTAATCAAATGGAAAAGTCTCTTTTTAAAACTTGTTTTATTAGTTTTAATCTTTTAACTTTATGCATCAAGCAAACATTAAATTATATGCAACATTCTCTGACTGGAAGAAATTTGTTTAACATTTAAACCTATTTTCTGCACATTCCAGCACATAAAATAAAATATTTTTTGTGTTTACACTCACTCTTTCAAATAGATGCAAGTAAAACACAGCAGAAAATAAATAAAATCAAAGACTCAGCGGTCCTGTTGCTCTATTTTCACCTGTAAGCAGGAGTGGGGCAGGCGGAGGGTTACCCTGGTGCAGGTGTGCCGCAGCGGTCAGTGGAAGAATTTGGCAGTTTCTCTGTAAATTTCACATTCCAGCGGCAGCGCATTTGGTGCTTGCTCGGACGTTTAGGGGTTTTCTTCCCATGCAGTGAGCAGCGAACGATAATGTTTTTGACACTTTTTACGGAATCAAACTCAAAGTAAGGTCCGTTCTTCCACGCTTTAAAAGCTGCACGGTCATACTCTCTCCTGCACACAGCTGTTGCCACGAACTTCGCACTCGCTTACGTCATTGTCATGAGACACTCTCGCAAAAAAAATCACGGTTTTAGTAACGCAGTAATGCAGCGTGCTTACGGGAAAGTAACAGTAATCTAATGAAGGTAAACTTTTGCATAGTTTCATTAAATATGCTGAAGCTCTTGTACATTAAGTAAGCTGTTGATTCCGATGTCAGGCAGGGATTTTCTTCTCAGATCTGGTTGATTACCTGGACTGATTTGTCCTTCACCAGGAACGACTGGGCGCCGTGGCCTGCCTGCAGCTCGCTGTGAAGCACTTTAACATAGAAGATCATGTCATAGTTATCGGAGGGTAAGTTTGTGTTCCTTAGCTCATGGTAAACTGTAGTTTTGAGTGAGGTAAAAACAGCTCTGAGATGTAGCTCTCTCCCTGTCCATCCTGAACAGTGACACCCTCTTCAAAGAAGATTTCAGCCTCAGGAAAGTTAAAGAGAGGTTCTCTGATGTCCAGTCGAAGTGTGAAGACAGTTGCCTTGTGCTGTCGTATCAGTGCAGAGACGAGGGTGAGGTTAATAAAGCTGTTCACGTGTCCAACATCAGCCGTGGCTTTGCGTCTTCTTCCCAATTAGTTCTGTATTTTATGTTTGTGTGTTCAGAAACCCAGAAATATGGAATCCTGGAGGCAGACACTGATCTTCGTGTCCTCTGTATGAAGGAGAAGCCTCTTCCCTCAGAGACAAAGTCCAGGAGAGCAGTAAGTTCAACACAAATGGTCAGAATGTGGTAAAATATACACTCAGGGATCTTAGGGTTAAAGACTGTAAATGAAAGATGGAACTTTACTACCCGGACTCAGAACACAGAGCTGACTATTTTTGGTTTTCAGTGCCCTTGTTTCTACGTGTTTTCAAAAAGAAGTCTTCGTCTGTTGGACACTTTCCTTGAGGAAAAGAAGGTAAACGAAATAAGCCGACACTCCACAATTAAGTTATGTTTTTATTATTAACGAGAAGCTTAATATTTCCACAGGATGCTCCAATCACAGAGAAAGACGCTCCCGGAAACTTTGTGTCTTGGCTCATCCCGAGGTAATTTCAGCTGGGAGAAATCTGAGTTTTACTCCAAATAAATGGCTTCCGCTTTTTGTGTGTTTCAGAAGGAATCAGGGTTTCATTTTGAATCTGTTCTTGTATTTTTCATATACTTAAATGACACTCAAGCTTAGATGATGGCAGACTGTTGTATTCTTTTTTTTTCAGGAAACCTGTTTACATTCAGGAAATTTCTGGGCGTTTTGATGTTGGAAACTTGCCATCATATGTTGAATGTGATCTGTACTTCAAAGAAAAACTTCAGGACGTTGAGTCGTACATGGTGTAAAAGGACGTTTTGTTTTTTTTAACTGATCCAAGAAGAAAATTATCGTGTGTGACTGTAAATACACCTTTAAGTTTATGATCAATCTTTTCTATAAATGTTATTTTATTAATCTAAACAATGTGGAGTCTTGTGCATTTGTCCGAGGCCTTCTCGCGGCTGTTCTCCATCTTTGCGATGCGGGAGCCAAACTGCATGGCTCTCTTGGGCAGGACGGCCGATTGACCGAGGCCCAGTCGCCTTGCCGTCATCCTCAGGAGGAGTTTCTCGCCGACTCCTCGAGGAAGCGACAGATCGGCTTTCTGCCACACGGGAAGCGAATTCAAGTAGCTCACCACGTCTTCGTCCAAGTACGGAAACCTGCGGAGTCCACAGAGGAGAGCGCCTTTAATCTGCAGTGCTCAAAATAAATTCTACACTGAGCTGCAGTTTCAACCAGTACACCAGTCATGATTTCATACGTGACATGAATTTTTTAAGAATAACAAGAGATAAAACACCCACTGTGATTTTTTTTAGCCACCTTACACAGTGCTGTGGAGGCGAGCTGTATTAACAGTTCATGCCTCTCAGTGCAATTATGTGATTAAATGAAAAAATTAATCATAATTTGGCAAAAAATGTTTATTTACACTAAAAATTCCCAAAGAGCACAATTTGTTGTGCTCTTTGCACTTATTGACAAATAAAACTTATACCAGCTGATCTGCAAATAAGAGGACATTTATTCCACTTCGGGTATTTAAAGAGCTCAAACTTAGAGAAAAAAAAAGCTGAGACTTTATCATAATAAATCTTTTTTTTTTTTTAAATATAATTTGCGTATCGGCCAGTATTTCAAAACCCATTCCAGTTTACAACCTTATATTAAAGCTATGAAAGTGTGCTATTTAGCTTCATTATCAATGTACAGACACCTCAGTTTAAAATCTCCGCCTGTAGAAAATTCACAGAAACGGACGGCACATCCTTCAAACAGAAACGGCATGCTGCTTAAATTTTAACCAGACATGAACAAAAATATTATTTTACGTTGTTTTCATTTCAGTTTTTCCCCTGAGTGGTTCCGCTTACTGACAGCAGGTGGCAGTAAAATGTTTTTAAAAACATAAAAATTAGTAAAAGCTGTGCTTTTTTTTTTTTGCTTTTTTTAAACATCAGGAAGGAAAACTCCACCTATCTGTTAGACATCAAGGATACACATGGGATGTTATAAAGACCCCAGATTCATTAAAATAAACATCTTACCCACCACACAGACAAAACAAGCTTCACTTGCAGACCTACCGAGCTTCCTTTCCATGATCCCCGATCACTCTGTCGTCTCTGCCCAAATTCCTGGAGGAGATCCGGCCCAGCTCCATGGCCAGCTCCTGGATCAAGCCTTCGTGTCCAGAGGTCTTAAACCGGACTCGGTGCCTGGAGTAACCAGCCAGCTGCTCATCTGCTCCGATTCCGGTCAAAATGACCTGCACGAATCAGAAACGTCTCTGATAACAAGTTTTTAAAGTTAAATGTGGAATAATTCTGCTTTCCACCAGCTCTGTATTTTTCTAGCTCACAATAATCCTAATCTATCTTAAACTGGCCTTTAACACCATTTATGACCCAAACTCTTTTATTCCTGAGAATCCTTCTCAAACAACAGTTTCATCAAATTTAAAAAAAGTTATACTGAGCTCTCACACCCTCCTTCCTACAAAAGAAACTCCGCTCTTTGTCACCTTTGCCGACGACGTGAATGGCCTCTGGTGGTTTCCCTCCGCGATGAATCCCACTCCTCTTGCAGCGAACCAAACAGCACAGCCGATGCTGTCGTCCAGCACCGTGTCCAGCGGATGCACCAGGTGACAGACGCGCTCCAGGCGCTTTTCCTGCAGCTCCTCCTGCGTTACGTTAATCTCCACAAAGTTCCACTTCCTCTCAGGGTTCAGTTCTTGTAGTTCCCTGAGCCCAGCTCTTCCAGTGATTCTGTCAGGAACGTCAAAGGGGCTCAACACTTGGGAATTTCCCCGATCAGCTTTTAAATCTATGGGCTTATTTTTGGGCTTTCTCGAGGACTCGTTCTTCTTTTTGGGTTCCTGTAGTTTAAAGGCCACATTCAACAGGTCTACAGGCTCATGTGCAGGTATGTGACGGTCAGCTAAAGCAGCCAGAATCATTGAATCAATGCCTCCTGAGAAAAGTATGGCAACACGAGCACAGTCAATAGCAGGAGGAGAGAGGTTTAGAGCCCTGAAAGGTAGAGACTGAACGCGTCTCCTCACTGCCTCGCTGAGAACGTCGATGAGATGATTCACCTCATCAGTTTTCTCCTCACTGCCCAGCAGCTTCTCCAGATCCTCCACAGACAGACATGAGTTTGAGTGAATTTCTGTATCATTTAATGTTTCTGGAAGAGACACATTCATAGGTGGAACAGGTGAAGAGAGTTCAAGACCCGACTGGTTCATCACAGCACTGCAACCTCTCGGGATGGACTCCAACACCTGAGGCATGGTGTCATTACTGACATCACTTTCTGCATGAGCCCAAGGATAAACCTCAAATGCCACACAGCCAGCTTCTGCTGCCGCCTTGAGGTTAACCCTGAACACACCAGCTGCCGGGACTTCCTGCCACACGCACTGTTTGGGACCAGAAGTGTGAGCAGCCACAGAAGTTAGAGTCAGTTCGCCGGCCTCTGCGTCAAATGTCCATAATAAGCTCCGCCTACCAAAGAAATCTCGGCCAAACCACAGGTAGTCTCCTGCCTTCTGGTAGTAAACAAACCCCCATGGTCCACGAATAGCAGACAGGACAGTGAGAATCTCTGAAGGGGCATTGCAGGATGATAGCCACTGAGCTAAAACTGTGGTGTCATTCTCCTCTGGCGTCACCGGCAGGCCACTGAAAATCTCTCCATTCCACAGCAGGATGTTTCCGGCGGCGTCTTGAAGCGGCTGAGCAGTGAGGAGACCTCTCATGTGAAGAACGTGAGCAGAGAATAAACAGCAATAGCTGAGATCTGAGCCTGTGATGGCGAGGTCCTGGCTCAAATTGGGCCCTCTCCTCTTTAAATGTTCATAAACTCTTTGATTCCACTGAGAATGAGCGGACGCCAGACTCAGCGCACAGAAGATCCCACACATCGCGGCGTTGCTGTGGCCTCAGATATCCTGAAGTTCCTTTTTCATATAATCAAGCTCCTCTGGAAACAGAACAATGCACTAGTTACATGATGCCATAACATTGTGCCTTCACTGTAGGCCTATTATGGCATAAAACACGCTGCTGAGTGTTTAATTATTTAACAAAAAAAAAAAAAAAAAAAGGGGGACCCTGTTCCCAACTTTACTGGCATCAAATTCAAAATGAGCAAATACAGGAAAAGCCAGCAAAGACAGAACACACAAAAACAGCCAAGCACTGACACAACCAATAACAACAAGACTTTCCAACATTTCCAGTGTTTGTTTTTACCTCACTGCAAATATTTCTCAAACCTACGTCTGAAAAAAAGTCCTTTATTGAGCAGTTTCTCGTGCATAAACTTAAAATAAACAATGCAGCTCAGAAACAATCCCACAGTGATGCCGGTGACTTTTCAATCTTTAGCTTGTCTTGATAACGACGCCTGAAGTTTGATCGACATATTCTTGAAAATCTAATGGAGTTTTGTTCAGAAGAACTCTGGACTGGATGAGATGTTCTGAGCATGTACTAAAAGAGGAGGCCCTGGGATAGATACAGGACAGACTGGAGATATCACATCTCTCAGCTGGCCTGGAAACACCTTGGTCTTCCTCCAAATTAGCAGGTGGAGGTGTTTAGGGAAGGGAGGTCTGGCCTTCTCTGCTTAGATTACTGCCCCCAGTCTCCCACTATCCTGGATAGCAGCAGAAAACGATTGGATGGATGGATGGATGTTAAAAAATAAACAAAGCGGGATAAATCTGTTTTTTGCTTCTACCCTGTTTGACACATAATGTATCACATTTTTCAAAAATAATAAACTCTCAGTCAATTTTTTTTTTTTTAGAATTTTTGTTCATCTTTACTTCCAAGTTTTCACCTCTCAACCAGAGACATTTCCATCATCTTACTTTTGCACGAAGTGAGTGTCTGACTTCTCTCTCCCACGAAGAAGATGTTACTGTTCCTCTGCTGGATGTAGACTTTCTGCGGGGAAAACAATCTGCATTAATCCACATTTATACTTTCAAAACACATGACTGCACCAGCCTAACAACATAGTAACCCATGTGATTTGCGTGTTTCCCATCATAACTGCACAGATAATGATGTGATCTAATAAATTTTGAGACTTTCCACTTCCTCCACTTACCCTGTTTTTCTTCAGATTGCAGAGCTCGTCCACAAGAACCTTCTGCTCTTTAATCTGTAACACGGAAAGTTTCACCGATAAAAACTACACTATCTGAATCTGTTAAGACACATAAAGCTAACAGAAGCGGCAGAATAATTATATATAACGAAAATAACCAAAAGTCTATGTATTTGGGAGACATCCGGTGGTCTGTAACAGCCACATTAGCCGTATTAGCATGTTTGGGCTAACGCTACCTTCTTGTTCAGTTCTTCTTTTACTGCGGCCTGTCCTTCAAACTGCTCGTCACTGCTGCAGCTTTTTGAAGACATGATGGTGCGAAGAAACGTAGAAAAAACTGTCCAGAGTTTTTATTAATAAAACCAAACCCGGTTCATACAGAGTAAGCTCATGCGTCTAACCAGAATGAAGCTTTTCCGGGTGCTGAATGTTCACACAGTTTGAACTCTACTGCCTCCTGCTGGTGGGCGGTGATATAGCCATTCAACTGAATCATTCATCTGTATCAAAAAATACAGATATTAATTTGTGCATGGTCTAATTTTTTTTTTTTACTTTTTCTTTTTGTTTTCTTTTTTTTTACAAGAGCAAACCACTTAAGTTTAAGACTTTCTTCAACCTCCAAAGGTAGCCAGCCTGAAACCCCTGCCATTTGTTTTGGCACTTACCTTGAAGCATTATCTAATTAACATTATTTTAATGTGCACCAAAACCAGTCAGTTTCAAAATAAGCCAAAGTCCATTCACTTAAACATGGCTTTCTATCTATGTTCATCTCACTAGGCTTT